TGATAGGAGAAAAACTGCAAGGAAGAAGTAATAATCTCTGTTTATTTCATATGACTTGTTTCTCTATCTCTGCTTCCTCTTAATCTCTTTTTATCACTAACTTACAACCTTTTGGCCATATCTTTGCTGAAATTGTGAGTTGTAGAGAAAAGGAAATTGTTAACATGTTTTTCCTCTTTCCCCTGAACTAAAATTTTTAAAAAATATCCTGCTCTGAGGTGAAGAATTAGAAAATGCAAGTCCAGTTTCAGCAATATCTGTGCAACATCACATCCCAGCTGGACCAAAACTGGTTGTTTTACCCCAAAACAAACTGGCTGGCAGCTCCAGGCCCATCAGCAGCCACACCAACATACCACAGTATGAAGGAGTCAATTGCAGTCATATACAAGTTAATAATTAAGGTATTTCTTACATATAATCAGGAAGAAAATGTTTCAGAGCTGCTTTATTCCCCTGCAGAAAAGATCTGTCCATGGTATTTAGTGTTTGTACACCACTTTGCACAGCTCTGCCTTGCTCTGTACTTTTAACTTACTATGTAAATATTTACATACTTGCTATTTATATATTGCCATTTAATTCTCGTAGCTTCCAGGGGTTCTGCAGCTGCTGTGTCCCACTGGCTGCTTCCTGGCTGACAGGTTCTTGGTTTAAAAGTAGCTGCATGCTCAGTAGTTATCTGCCTGCTGATTAGGGAGTGCTGGACTGGGTTTTGTCTGCTGTGTAGGGATGCTTCTTCCACTGGGAGATGGGAGTATCATAGAATCATAGAATCAACCAGGTTGGAAAATACCTCCAAGATCATCAAGTCCAACTCTACCACGGTTACTAGACCATGGCACCAAGTGCCACATCCTGTCTCTATGGAAACACAGAAGCTGTTCCTTTGATCTTCCATGGGAAGAGGTCATGGGAAGGGACACAGCTCAAGCTGCAGGTGGACCTGTGTGGCCAGTGGACAAGACCCTGTCCCACACCACCACGTCAGGGGAAGGACACATTTGCAGCACAGGAGTGTGCAAGGCCCCACTGTGAGTGCCTGATGCAGCGTATCAGTGTGCAGAACCTTATCAAACATCCAAAGATGTACATTCCAGACACAACAGCAACAGAAATCTTTATTCAAAGCATCTTAACTCATCCTTTGACAAACAAAAACATTGCAGGTTTACCACATTAAATTATTTATTTTGAAATTTTCTCTTTTGGATCCTTGCCTTTAGCTGTATCCAATTACTCTGTTTCTTCTGATCCACTCTCCTTATCCTCTAGATTAGCAGTTCCTGTGGAGGTGAAGGAAAGGCAGGACACAGAGATGCATTTTATTATAAAATACTGGAAAGCAATCCCAATAACCTACAACTAGGAGTCTAACCTAGGACTCTGCTGTCTACCTCAGTCCTCCTTCCCCACAGCCTTTCAATGCCAAGACTTGAATGCAACTGTTTTACATGGTGTGTCAGCTGTCAGACAGACTCAGTACACACATATTGACTGCCAGCCAGCCCATGTGTAACTCTGGAATAGCCAAGAATGTATCCTAGTTGGATGATATAAGGAATGCAGAGCAAGAAGGATGGGATTTCTGTGTGGGGAAAAAAAGACTATGGTAATGGGGCAGGGAGTACAGGCTGCAAGAAAACAGATTTTGCTACATCTGCTCTTCACATTATGCACATTTTCTTCGAATCACTTCCTCTTACTGTAATTTATTCTTGCTAAACACAAAGACAAGGGGAAAATTATGTTGCCTAATTAATTATGGATGTAGACCCATATTGAAATACGTACACAATCTTCCTTGATTCTGGAAATAAAAAGTTGAAGGAACTTGGAGAACATCTATCACATTCCTATGTTTTCAGGCATTGGTATGTGCCTCTGCCATCTCTGACAGATACCTGGGCTTGTGTGTTCTTTAAAAAAACAACACACAACCCAACAGGGATACCAGAACTGCTTTGTTGTGGTAGGCCAGAAAATTTATTGGAATCAAGTTCAGTCAAAATTTGAGTCCAAGGGTCTTTGAGACAAATCAGGCTCAATGCACTTTTGCCAAACCCAGAGCAGAGCAGGAAAGCTGCTAAGATTTCTGCTAGACCTGACCCAAGCCCAGGGATCTAGTGAGATGTCAATCCTACACACCAGGTCAGTCAGCAGGTTAGTTTGCCCTGAAGCAGGAGAGCACCTTCAGGGGTGAAAATTGAGAGCAAACAAACTATGAAAACTGCAAGAGATGACCTAAATGTTAAGTGTATACCTCCAGGCATTTTCACATGGTTTAATAGTCTTTCTGCTTCCTATGGGGAGTGTTTAGCTTGGATTTATTGTAAAATGGACTGATTACAAATGGATACATTTATCTGATTTATTTGATATGCAAGTCTGTGGAGGCCTATGAGCTAAGTATGAGCAAGGATAGATATATCAATTTTTTGTTTCTTATCGTGTATTTAAAACAGGATTATGAACTGACTGGAAGAAAACCTGAGCATCTGAATTTCAA